GGCTGATCCGATCAGCGATGGTGGTAGTGCCTCTGTGATAATATATTTAAGAAGGGGAAAAAGTTGCTGCGAAACTGCAGCCAGAGAGAGCAGTGAGAATATGTGGGAGGAACAACTCTGCAGACACCAAGGTCAGCGAAGAAGGAGGCGGAGGAGGTGCTCCAGGTGCCAGAGCAGGTTTCCCTGCAGCCCATGAAGACCATGGTGAGACAGGCTGGCCCCCTGCAGCCCAGGGAGGTCTATAGTGGAGCAGATATCCCCTGGCAGCCCATGAAGGTTAGTGGTGGAGCAGGGTATCCACCTGCAGCATGTGGAGGACCTCACACTGTAGTACCTGGTGGACTCCTGAAGGAGGCTGTGACCCTGTGGGAAGCCTGCACTGGAGCAGGCTCCTGGCAGTACCTGTGGAGAGAGGAGCCCACGCTGGAGCAGGTTTGCTGGCAGGACTTGTGACCCCATGGGGAACCCACACTGGAGCAGTCTGTTCCTGAAGGACTGCGCCCTGTGGAAGGGACCCACGCTGGAAGAGCTGCCCGTGAAAATGACTCACATTAGAGAAGTTAGTGGAGGACTGTCTGCCATGGGAGGGACCCCACATTGGAGCAGGGGAAGCGTGTGAGGAGTCCTCCCCATGAGGAGGAAGGAGCGACAGAGACAATGTGTGATGAACTGACCGCAAACCCCATTCCCTGTCCCCCTGCACTGCTCGGGGGGTGGAGGTAGAGAAATTGGGAATAAAGCCAAGCCCGGGAAGAAGGGAGGAGTGGGGGGAAGGTGTTTTAAGATGTGATTTTATTGTTCATTATCCTACTCTGATTTGGTTGGTAATAAATTAAACTAATTTTTCCACAAGTTGAGTCGGTTTTGCCCATGACAGTAAATGCTGAGTGGTCTCCCTGTCTTTATCTCAACTCACGAGCCTTTTGTTATATTGTTTTTCTCCCCTGTCCATTTGGGGAGGGGAGTGATAGAGTGGCTTTGATGGGCACCTGGTGTCTAGCCAAGGTCAACCAGCCCACCACAGGCATTATGTTTAATTCATATGAATTGGTGTTATTGAAGTGAGATTGTATCTAAACTTTAGAACTTGTATGAATGGCTACATTTCTTTAAAAAAAAAATTGTGATGTCCTAAATATTTCAGAATTTTTATGCAACTACTTGCCTTTTATTCAGCGCTTCTCCACTTTCAGTTGTTTCTTGTGTATAGATACTGTGAAAATGGGTACCTTAGATGAAAATAAATAGATAATGCAGGCAGGTAAGAAACTAAGCTGTCCAGGTAATTACATATATCTTACCTACTTTGTCAATCTAAAGATGTTGTTCACTCCTGACTGCTCTTTTAGCTGCACGTTTACATAGCCCATCAGCTGATTGCTATTCCAGGAACACCTGATAATCT